GAATGAAATATAGCTTGTAAATGTGCACCTGTTGTATGTGTTGCTAAATTACCAACAAATAATTTACATGTTGCTATCTTTGAATTTGCTGGTGTTGAAGCATTAATATTTAATTTTTTTGTCGGATTAAAACTTGTTTGATTTGATGATGAAGTAAACATTTTTTTTTTCTTTATTGTGATCGGATAAACGGGAGATAGAAAAATGTGTTATATGTGTGCGATTCAAAGATGGAAATGAAAATAGATAATAAAATTCGATAGAAGAAAAGAGAAAGTAAGTGCATATAGTCATGTAAGATGTATATGTTATGTTATAATCCTTTCGTTTTATTTTATTTTCCTCGATAATTTTAGTCCTATTCGATTATATCAATACTGACGACGAAGGAGAGAAATTCATTTAAATCATTTGCTATGAGAATATTTATAAAAAAATAATATGATTTTTTTTCGTTTTATTGTATTTATAAAATAAGAAATGATCAGCAAAATCTCTCTTTTTTTCATATGGATAAAGATGCAGGCTTGGAAGTACTTGATATAGCGCAAAAACAAACAAACAAAGAAAAAAAAATGGGGGGAAGGAGGGAAAAAAGAACTGTAGAGCAAGATCCAAAAAAAAAGAAGAAGAAATCACATATCATACAAACACAAGAAAAATAAAATAAAACGTGAAAAATGAAAGTAAAATTTTCGTTTTCCTGGAATTGTTTCGTATAGTTTTACTCTAATATGTATATATATATAAATATAAATCTATGTCATAAATTTAAACAAGTCGATGTTGTTGTTGTTTAGCAAGAAAAGTTACAGGATCAAAAGGCATTGATGTTGGATAAAGTTGATTATTTGGTGGTGTAAAATGATATTGTAATTGATCAATATTAAATTGTTGAAGATTACTAGCAAACATAGCTAATTTTTGATCAAATAATGTTGTAACTAAAAGTGATATGGGATCATTAGAATTTGAACCTGATGACGGTTGTGGTAGAGATGGCGGAGGTGTTTCAGGTTGATCTTTTGTAATAATTGATGATTGACAAGGAATTGTAGTTAAAATTGGTGGTGACGATGATGATGATGTACTAGCTGATGGTGGCGGAGCAGATGAATTCGATGATTGACTTGATTTATTACGTTTTCGTGGTTGATACTAGAAAAAATATAAATTATTCGAATGTCGTATATTTTTCTTCTTCTTCTAAATTACTTTATAAGTTGGATATTGTCGTGCATGAAGTTGTTTTAATCGTTCTGATTCTTCCATATATGGTTGTCGTTCACGTAATGACATACGTTTCCATTTTGCTCCACAACATCTAAAAATAAATTCATATAAAAAATTTCTTTATTATCTATTTCATTATCTCACTTGCTTATATCCGCATTAGGTAAATGTGGTGCAAGTTGAACAATTTTTCGACGTTCAAGTTGTGAAAAAACCATAAATGCATTCATTGGACGTTTAACATGACCGGGACGTACACGTTTCTTCGGTTGTGTACGTGTTGCATCGGAATAAGGTGTTGCTGTTGTTGGATCAATAAGTGCTGAACCAAAAAAAATCGGTGGTGAATCCGTATTTGTATTTGATGAAAGTAATTCAAGTAACATATGATAATCATCAGGTCTTAATGCGCGACAATTTATTTGTGGCCATGTCATAGTTGGAGATGAATGTATTATTGTTGAATTATTAATTGTTAAATCTGGTGATGATGGTGATGGAAGTAGAGATGAAGAATTTGTTGAT